TATTACTTGTTGTCACATCGGGCACATGTGTGATAAGTCAGCTTGTGAATTTCAGATGCAAAATCTTGTCCAAGAGTGAGCATCCTCGGCCGTTCAGTCAGTAACGCACACGTTCGGATCCTTGGCATTTTGAGTTCATTCTCTGGGCTCCATTTTCCTTTATCCTGCAGGACTTATCATTGTATGATTCAATTATATTGGCCTGAAGGGAGTTCAAACGGTCCTCATGTTGTGAAAACACCCCGGCGTCTATCTCCCGGAGTACGTTACATCAGTTTCAGTCAATTTTCTCGCACCATTAACATAACTAACATGAAGTTGGTGCAGGTTCGATAAAGTAGTGATTCATTCCGACTGGCCGTAACACAGGGATCAAGTTTCAAGGATTACTTCATTTATTTCAAAATTCGAAAAACCGGTTGTTCTGTGTTCTCCCACACCTGAAGAATGTATAACGGTTCATGTCTCTTGGTTAGTACTATGCACGGACTTTAGGATAGCACCGGTAAAACGGAAAAAAACAGTCGGAGTTTACTGCTCTGCCTCGTTAGCATAGTTAAGTCTCAAGTTGATTTATGGAAGAATTGTACGTCATCAATCGATAGAAAAACTGATGATTTCAGGCTTTGTTTAAATCAATGATGTGAGAGTAAGCGGGTTCGAGGGCATGGTCGAGGAGAAAGTAGCACTCTGAAATGTGACGATTTTATCCAATCAGATCTGTGTGAATTTGACCATGCTCTGTCCATCCATGTCACCGAACAGAGAGAAACCCAGTCTTCACAAGGAATATTTCAGCTGAACTATCCTGCCACCAAAATATCTAAGTTGAACATCAAAACAGACTCTGTCAGAGAGAAAATTTATGAGTTATGGCTAAGAACCCCGGGGCACAAGAACTCCCTACACTATGTGGGCCTCCGTAGACTTACCGTGATCACAAACTCTCCCTGGTCTTGTGCGGCACCGTTTGCCGGCAGTGCTGAAAAGACAATAGAAAACAAACGGTCGAGTTTTCTATGGAAGTTGCTGAGTACGACGTATCCAGTGAAACGTATACTGTACAGCCCAATGATAGTGGGATGCAAGCAGGCTGCCTGGAAATATGACTTAACTTTGTGCTAACGTTAACGCAGTGGAGAATTTTTCAACTGAACTGCACCTCATAGCGCCAAGACGGTGCTTACTCGGACTTGCAGTCCTGACTGTAACAGTCCATCCGTATTTTCAGCCCATTCTTACGCACGAACGTAACATTTAGCTCGGTGCCCGCCTATTGCTCAAGGCCATCTTTGTGAGGTCTTACTGTGACCGAAAAGAAATCACTCAACTCAGATTGTACACTTCTCATGTTCTTGTGGGCACAGTACAACGGTGAAAACATTTGGCGGTGCTAATTGACTTCAAAGGAGCAACCAGAAGACGAACTTTTCGAGATGTTGCCATTTCAAATTACCTTGGGGAGTCGCAGAATTAAAAAAATCATTTTAGTAGTTGACCGGTTCATCAATGACGTGCAGATAAGACAACCTAGTGATCGTTTTTCTGGTGCACGGGGAGGGTAAAAAACACTCAATAAAAGGCGTTTTCACGATCACGGGCTGGTCTTCCGTACTTGAATTTTCGACATCTTACAGCCCTGAATCACAACTAACAGCTCACTTTGTAAGATAAGATAGACGTGGAGTTTGGTTGAAAGCTCGCAGGGATGTTGGAGTAACTATTAGGATCTGACGTCTGAACATAATGCCTTTTGCTCCTTGTCACGTAAGACAAGACGAAATCTTCGATCGAGACGTTCGGTACCCATGGAAGCCAGTCTAACAATATTTGGGTCGACCACTCATTCCCGGTTGTCAGGGTGTCGTACCACCCAACTGCATTATCCTCCATTGTAACAGAATAGTGAACTGACGCAGTGCAGAGGAAGATGTAGTAATCGGTGTACGATACCCGTATTCCTTGGTCCTAACAAACAGCAATGTGGACCGGAACGGAGCATGCGGAATTTCAGTCTGGCGTCACCTGCAGTCCAAGTTGACTGGCCTCTAATGCACTGACCGAATTGTTCGGGCTTACGTCACTCGCTCCCAAACAGTCATGCTCCCGTCTTGGTGCAATCAGTTCGATGAGTCCACACCAAAGGGGCGAAGCTCTGGGCTCGCGGGACCCTCTTATTACAGCTCGTCAGCAGTGTATATTCATGGTTGTTCCGGAGTTTTAACTCCGGACACGTGAGGCAAGTGCTTCAACACTACTTCATCACCGCAAGCTGGATGCTTCTGAACGTTCACATCTCAACTGACGGACATCACATCGCTTGAGCGATGTGAGCGCTTGATCCAACAATATGGATTTCACTGCAGCTACAACTTAACCTATCAGTGACACAAAGATCAAAGAAAAGCTGAGACCCCGTCTAGAACACTATCCATGGTTTTGTCCACAGCCCACATATTTGAGCTGTCCTATAAGTACGACTGAAGTGCTTGTTTGATATTGCTCGAGATATGGTCAGCCTGAAATTGTGGGCATATCTGCGTGCTTTACTTTTTCTCTGCGATGCTCAGATTGCCCGAAAAGTTTCGTTAATTATTCAAGGTACTGGACATATCTGGGTAGCCGCAGTAGCTTCTCTTCGGTCATTAGTTCACCCGTCTTAAAAAAATAAATCCCTATAAAACAGCTTTTGAACTAATCCTGGTCGGTGGGAAACTCATCAGAGTGGGGTGACAGATTGCTGCACACGGCCCTGAGCGGAATTTCGCAATCTCCAATGTAAATTCGAACACCCAGTGAGCTTATATCACTTCTCTGCTGTGATTACTATTTTATTGTGTGTAAATTTAGCCATCCAGACACGCGTCAATGCTTTTGACAAAGTCATACATTCACTGCGATGAATGAAGTTGACAGAGTTAATTTTGGCTCGGACGATCCAGCCTTCCATTATCCGACGACGTGTGCATCAAGGATGTAAGGACACCCTCAGTAGAAAACAGGTGAATTATTACGTATTTGGTGGTTAAAAAGACCGGCTTACTGTTGGTTCCCGGTTTCCAGGCATCCGAGGAAGAGTCACGTTGATGTATTCCGAATGCAAGTCCATCTGTCGGTGTTCCAGATTCTTCAGACATAGGCTTTCGTTTAGTCATTCTGGGCGTACAATTGTTTGAGTAAGTCAATCGATCATGATTCCTTTCCGGCTGAAGACCTCCTTCGGAAACCAACCTCTTTCTGCACACATTTTGACAGATGTTTGGTATCGTCGTTGGTTTGTGCCTTTGGACGGTGAGATGACACACAGGCGATAGATCGTCGTCCAGAGGAGAACTGTCGTTCAACATCTCCGCAGAAATGGGACTAATGTCGGTCTCATTGCCACTGGATGAGACAGATCGACCCATCTTATCGGAAAGCCAATCCATGGATGGTGCGGCTGGCTTCGGATGTGATACCTTTTTCACCGTGGTTGGATACCGGTTGAGGAGTCTTCGGCAGTCTCTTACGGGTGAGGTGCAACAGACAACTTGGAATTCAGTTTGACAAAGCTCCTTACTAGAGTGCAGAAAGAAGCATAGAGGTGGGACTCACGTTCACAGGATTAGAAAAACCGTTTGCCATGACTGATCGCTTTGTGTTCAGAATCTCTTCGAGAACACTGAACAACAGAGTGGATGATTTCATTCAAAGAGAGCAGTCATGTCCTGGAATTGTCCAGTACCTTCTCACACATGGAACTAAGGAATAGTGTGTTCCCTGAAACATCTACCGGCCCTAAATCGATGCTTTTATCCTTGAGGGCTTCTGTGATAATGACGGACTCATGTCAAATCACTCAATTAATATTCTACTGACGTTACTGTTGTGAACAATGAACAAACGTTCAGATACAACTCAGCCTTCAGAAGGACGAAAACCCTTATGAGCTGCTGAAGCGTTTTCATCATACTCGTAAATAGTGTTGGATTGAGAATAAAGCCTGTTTGTCAAGTGACACGCTTCTTACCATGAGTATACACTCCTGTCCGCGTCGGACCACCCGGGTGCCCCTGAGTTATAGTTCAGGATCCGAATTTCTTTGTTCTGAACATGGGGATATGGGAAATGCAGTAGCTGCTTGAATGTGTCAGAGGGTTTGGGCGTGTGCGTGTCCGTTTGTCAATCCACCACGGATCTGGCTTGTGACGTTAGTGGCTGATTTGATGCGTGTCTGATTGGTTGGCACGCGTGCGTGTCTATCCGCAAGTGAACGTTACCGCGATGACTGAACACGTGACTCAGTCGCATGCGTATCAGCTACAAGGCCGACCTCCTTGGCCGAATGCACAATATACACCCGTGTCCTTACCTACGTGTTGTCTGATTTAATTCGAAAATTAGATAAACGATGCAGGATAACTAATAAAAACGTGGTTACTGAAGAATGACGTGTTCTTTTCCAGATAAGCCCCGCCAAAAAATTAACCCTCTCCACCCAAAAAGATTAGAAAGTGGTTACTGAAAAAGACGTGTTCTTTTCCAGATAAGCCCCGCCAAAAAATTAACCCTCTCCACCCAAAAAGATTAGAAAAGAGAGGATTTAGCGTTTCATCGATCTCGACATGTAGATCTGGGCCGCCGATAATTGTTGGAGTCTGCAAAAGCCCCCAGGTGCAAACTTCGCGAAGAGAGCTCTTCCAGTCAACAGCGGTCGTGTGGTTATTGGATAATTCCTCTGAGCAAAATTTGATTTCTGCCAAATTTTTGTACCAGCGATAAGTGAATAGAATTACTGTCCTAAACTCCATCCTAGACCGCTCCAGCCGAGTTCCCTTTTGAAAACCGATTTCTTGCCAACACTGTCGGGCATTACACCTCCACCTGTCAGAAACAGTTGAAAGTGTCATTTGGTGGCCACTGCTGAATAAGCGTTGCCGATGCATCACTCCGTGGCTTTGCAAAGAACGTACTACCGTCTCCTTGTTATGAACGAGAGTTGATAGCGTCATAAAGGTCATTTAAGGTTTCACGTCCGAATGGAGTAAACTTTTGCACAAAATGAGTCTAGATGTGGATAAGGAATTGTTTTCATCAAAAATAGGTCAAGGTTGTGTGCGTACGTTAAATTGCAGCTGGTAAAAAGTGGTGGGGCTTAACTTTTGGCACGTGCACTTTTTTCACAACTGGCGGAGCATATCTGCAAAAGATCTGAATGACGAGCTTGCCTACCTTCACCCCTACAGTTTGGAACACAGACCGACTTGAGAATGATGAGTCAGTCAACAAACGTACTTTTTATCGTTGATGACGCTTACACGAATCCAGACGTCCTTGCGATAAGCGGTTGGGCACTGGGAGTTGAGAAACGGGAACACCAACTGGTAGATATCACAATAGTCAAGCATGCGGATTTCCATGTAGTGGAACCCGCCGGAGTCTGTGGCGTAGTTTGGAGAATCCTGAGCGTTGTCCGCCAGCAACTGAATGAAACACAATTGATCTGGCATGTTGTACGCCTTCTTTTGCATTGGGCCGCGGAATCTGGATGATAAGATCGATATCATGGTACTTGATGGTTATGCTGTTATCTAAACAAACACCATTCGAATCTATCTTGAGCACGCAGTTCAAACCGGCGATCTGATTGGTTACCGTATGCCCAGACAAATCATGGATCTAAGACTGACGGGAAAAACTTGGGGACTACGCCTGTCTGATGAGGCACTATTCGATTCTATCTTGAGCACGTAGTTCAAACCGGCGATCTGATTGTTCACTGCATGCCCAGACAAGGCATGGATCTAAGGCAGACGGAAAAGACTTGGGGACTACGCCTGTCTGATGAGTCCTAATCGGTCTTGGCCTTTTCAGCAGCCCTGTGAGTAGATTCCTCTTTGAAAGCATAGACATCTTTCACACTGCGTTGGTAAAATTGAGTTTCCTTTTAAATACCTGAACATATGCAAGGTTTAAACCCGGTCTATGGGAATTTGGTTGCATAAACTAGACTCTTTCAAATAAATCCCTGAGGGAAAAAGTGGAGAAGCCAAATTGGGTAAGCTACTGTTTGAAAGGAGAGAATTGGATGAACGCGAGTTAAATTTTATTGTGGCCGTGGAGCGTTGAAAGGAAACTGAGACTTTGACAAAATGTATCCCATCACAAACGTTTTGGCGTCCAAAGGAAACTTAAAGAACAAACTATCATGGGTTCATGCGTCTTCGTGTTTATTTCCGTCACCACACCGACTTGTATTGGAGGTAAGAAGTTAATAAGGATAAACCGATTGCTACAAATGGAATGGAATCACCCCTACGCACATGAAAAACCACGAGAGGAAGGACGCTAGGGCTGGAGCTGGAGTCACCCCTTTCTTGGCTTGCGCAACACAGCCAGCGAAAGACCAATTCGAAGCCCGAGAAAAGTCTGACGTACGAGGTCACTTTGTGAGGTTGGAGAGCACAGTATCAAGCAGCGGTGTGATTTGGTGAGAGGAGTGGGCTGTATCATCACGCGGATGATGTGAATGCCGTGAGTCAATGCGGACATGAGGCAGAGGGTGTCGGTTGTCTTTAGGCGGCTGTTAAACTGTTTGCTGAGCTAAGTAGTGGACTTGCATTGACTTTCAATCGGTTTTCTTGATCAGTAGTGTCGAGGCACATACAGTGTGAGCACGTAAATACGGTACAGTGGTCGCAGAAACCATAGCCTAACACATCAGGGCGACTAGGTAGTCTCGTCGGTTCCTGGCCATTTCTGGAAGTTGAATGAGTTACTTCGTAATCATCCTATTGGTTTAAAAATTTGTGATATTCTCTGATTGGTTGTTTCTTACCTGTCTTTGAAATCGACTTGAGTTGATAAACCTACACGTAAGTAAGTTGATCTAATTAAATCCGAAAACGATCAATGGACCGCAAAGTCATTGGTAACCAAAGGGAATTCGTGATTAGCTTAATAGCCACACCATACGACAACCTATGGTGGATATCCGATAGGAATGGTAACCGAGGGCTTTTTTAGTTGTCGTCGCCCCGGTTACTGGTATGTGACAGCACTGAGAAGGATAGATACAATTTTTAGTTGTAACTCCACACATTCTCGTGCAAATTGAATGCAGAAAGCTCAATCCGGATACATGACCTAAGAACGATCGGGCAACCAGTCAGCCAAATACAGACGACAAATGTGCATCGTAACTCTGTGCATGTAGACACCGCTGATGAGCCTGTGAGTTCTGCTTCGTAACGCCTGTCCAAAGTGCGATAAAAATTAGTTCACAAGGTTCATCGTCTTAATTCAAGTCTTTAGCAATATTCTTCCAAACGATAGCATTCATAATGTCGACAGAACCTGCTGGAGTTCATCGAAAAGGCCCAACCCACAAAACTTACAAATTTTCACGCCAGTTTTGTTTTGAAGATAGACGGAAGAGAATCTCTTGTGGGTCTCTAGTTTATGACTCCTTACAGCATCAAATATCTCACCAGCAGAAACTTGAGTTGGTCTCCGTGCAGTGTACTCAGTTGAAAGGTATCATGAAAGAGAGATTCAGCTGAGGTTCGGTTGAGTCTATCAAATCGGTTTACAATTGAGTGCGGTTATTGAATTTCGTACAACCCGGATCCAAGTAGAACACAAGGCTGACGGAACCCCAGGGACTACGTCTAGCCGACTAGCCCGAAGAAGAACGAAACTGAGTGTGGAATATCGAAGAATTTCCAGAAACTTCATGAATGGTTCTCTTCAGGGCCTTATCCCCCTTTCAGCTTCTCGTCATACGTGGAAGGCAACAAACTTTTGATTTGAAAAATAGATATACTAAAATGCACTGCATTGGGCTGCATCCAGTGAAATCGTCAGTGAACTGAAGAACGGTTTGCAATCAAACTTCCAAGCTTAGCGGACGGACTAACAACCATACAGAGTACCTGAGCTACTCGCCCTGAACAAGGCGCGGGCACAAAAGCCGAGCAGGGGACATTGCAATCCGAGTAAAGATTGTGCTACTCATAACCCGCCTCAGTAATAGATGCTATCACGCCAATTCCACTCCAACTGTCTGAGCGATGTCAAGTGGAACCGTTCACTCACAAGCGATATAGAGCCAGTTTTATCTGTAAACTGTTGAATTATTCGACTACAAATAGAGATGATACGCTTTGGCATGCTGAAGCCGAAAAATCGATACGCGATGTTTTTGAAAATTTCGTTATCTGTTCCCATGAAGCTACAGACCTCGGAAAGACGGCGTCTTAGGTCAGGACTTTTTGAATGTTCGACTAGTGAATTAAAGCTACCCGCAATTCTGGGCTGCTCCTGTCAAGGAGTAGACAGCCTGGCAGCACCTTAATCCACGTGCTTCATTCCAGTTGCATGGTAGCTATGCCCAGGAAGGATGTTATAGCTGAGCGCTTACTACAGAAGCTACTACAGATCCGATACTACTGCAATTAAATGTCACATCCAGAACACTTTGGATTAATCACGCCATCATAGATTCGTATGTTCATTCCTCGTGATGTTCGAAAATTGAGGACTTTGTTACGCTTTAATTTTGTTCACTGTAAGGGACACTTGCACTCTAATAATTGTTCGCGAACTGATCCATATCATACAGCCAACTGGCACAATGCTCTTGTTAAGAAATGCAGTTGTTTCTCAACCCAGTTAATTTTCCGAAAAATTCTCCTAGCAGTGAGATGTAAGCTGGGTTCCCCAAGACCAAATGAGACTCAAACACGACAACGAGGGTTAGTCATACAGTTGTCGGTAGAGTAGGGAGACTTAGGAATTCGGCATACTTTTTCCTGTCTGTGGAGTCGCTGTGCGCCAAACGACCAATGAGGACTGCACGACTGCTTTTTCCCTACTATAAATCGACAGTACGCCTCTCTCGAATGTTCAGGGAGATTCACACTAGTAAACTCTGCAGTGTTATTGACGGAATTTACATCAGGTGGACACTTGTTAATTGGCTTCTTGATTGACGACTTCTAGAATGGTCTCATGTCTCTAGCCTGTTTATTGCTGATTTCTCCAGTTTAGAAGGATGAGGAAGATACCCTAACTCGCAATGGACTTGATGACGGAGTCCAAGGGCCATTTTGCAGTTCCATCTTTTTGCGTTAGAATGAAGGTGGACTGAAGTGCAGGAGAAGTAACCTCAGACAGAGTGGAGCATTTGTTGCTGAAAATCCGTCGACAGCCCACGACCGGTTTCGCCCTTTTTGAGGCTCATCAGGTAGGCGCAGTCCCCGAGTTCCCGTCAACCTTATGTTCTGCTTGAAACCAAATGGCACGAAATTAGCGAATATACACTCATTTGCGAACCCAGCTGAATCTCTCGTTTGTGGAGCATTTTCTATCGCCAACTAAAGAAAGCTCTTTAAATCGTCCCCATCAAAATATCCTTCAGCTATAACACCCCTCTGATGCCTAGCTGTCATGCCACCCGAAGGAAGCACGAGGGTTGGGATACTGCCAGGTTGCCTAGATTGGGTAATTCGAGAGGCGGAGTTCGGGTTCGAAACATGGACCTTCCGGTCAGTAAATTCAAGCTCTAACCCCTTGAACCATATCGCCCCTGAGTCATCTCGCCCCCACATTAAATATAATTCAACATCCCACTAGGAAAGGTTCCGAGTTCCCTGGAAAGTGTTTCTAGGGGACCGTAGCGACAAGCTATGAATACTTGGCATATTTGATCACCGTGAATTCAAAACAGTGGGCTGTTTTTTTAATTTGGATCTGTGACTACATATAAGCTTCTGACGAATGTCAACCACAAGCACAGTGAAGCACAGTTCGAACAGACGACGCCATAGTTTTGACGACATTTCACCACCATGTTCTGTCATCACGCTGTTTAACTAACATAAGCAGACGCCGCAGTAGTTGATGCTATTATTCATTAGAGGTAGCTAGTGATCGATCAGTATTGATTGGTCAAGTTTACGCACGCGTACTTAGACGTGATCGATTGTGCGCGCACAACAAGCGGTGCGCACATTAAAAGTCAACAGGCTTGTTTGTTCGTCAAACAGATTCATTATCAGTGTGTGTTTGAGACAAATGAATTTGAAGATGCCATTTTCACCCAAGTGTTCATGTGTCGCACAATGACTGTGGCGATAAACGTCTCTACTCGATAAATTTTAGGGTACATCTGTTCGGCTCACATAACCCACTGTTTTCGAAACTTGCGGTTTCCTTAATAAATGTGCCTTTACAGTGAAAGGTGACAGAACCCTAATAAGTTTATCGTAGAAAATGGTGAAAGGAACAGGGTCTTCCGCTCAATTAATCATTAGATAAGCAATAGATGCATATCTCAAGCGGTGCTAACCGCATGGTAGCAGTTTGATCCCAGGTTATAAACCTTGTCTAATCACATTCGCCTGGGTCATCTAGATTTGTACGTTCAAGAAAGTAAAACTCATTGGGGAGCGCGTAGTTTGGCGTAATTTATATCTCAACGGGTCGTTTCAACTCCGATTATCATATGGCTTTTCTCCAAACTTTATAGCAAGACAGCACACTAACCGGTCTTTTTGGGAGTGTGGAGATATTGAGGGATTTTGGTGGAGATTCAGTCGTGCAAGTGAAACTGATCTACGCTGGAGAAACGCCGAGAAACGCTGCAGAGTGGTTTCATTCTTATTGGGAGTTATCAGCAGTGGGCATCTTAAGAAACTCCAAGGAGCCTGGAACCCGCCACCTCCCAGCCAGTAATTTGAATATTCAATTACCGTCATTTCCACATAAGTACCAAAATTCACGTTACTCGCGTGGTACGCACAGCAACAGGCGAGAGTGTTTGCAGTGACTGTTGAACCTCATCGACCTCTGTCCTCTTGGTATTCGACTCTGGCAAGCTGCAGGGTTTCAGACGAATCAGCTGAGTTACAGCCTGTTGATACATGTGAAGGAGTCCCAGCCAATCTAAGAGCGGTAGCAATCCATCATTGAAAGGGAACAGCCAGACCATGGTTTTGAATAAACTCATTTATGAGTTGGATGCCCAGTTGAACATCTGAAAACTACTCACTGCCTGCGAACCACTTAAAACAAAGCTGATTATTTCGATTCCAGCTATCTCAAAGGTCGAATGTGGGTTAACTTCAAACTCTGAAGAACTAGTCGTTATCGAGAAATACACTCATTTGCAAATCAGTTTGGTTGTTACGAGAGACTCAACTGAATCTCCCGTCTATGATATTCCACAAATGAATGTGCTGCACACAGGCCGCCTCATGATTCAGTTGGCACGATATTCGAGATATCGCAGTATATTTTTATAAAGGAAACTACTCACAAGGTTGCTGAAAACTCCTCGACAGCCCACGACCGGTTTCGCACTTCTTGGGGCTCATCAGGTAGGCGCAGTCCCCGAGTTCCCCAGAGATTCACTTGAGTCTCTCATGAAAACCAAATAGATTAGCATATGAGTGTATGTCTCGAAAACAGTCCAATTTGAGTTCAAGTAGAACATAAGGTTGACGGAAACACGGGGACTGCGCCTACCTGATGAGCCCCAAGAAGGGCGAAACCGGTCGTGGGCTGTCGAGGAGTTTTCAGCAACAAAAAACTAGCCGTTATGTTTTACGTCCGTGAACTGCGCTGCATTTTTGGCTATGGATGTTATCTTCCAGCCACCTAAACCTTGGGTTATTTATGTGAGAATGTTAGCCTAAAACTCACAAGGTAGAGCGAATCATGTGACTCTGATCGATTATGTTTCGAAAACAAGTGACCCGCCGCCCAGTTCGTTCACAGTTTCACACGTTCTGTTTCGAAATGTATCATAATTTATGCGTTAACTGACAAATTTACTTGTGGAATTGGTAGGATAAACCTAAACTGGCACAGGTCAGAAATATATTGTGAATGGACGCAATGCGTAAAAAGTTCAAAAGGCTGAAGTCTATGTTAGGGTATATATGCGCCAATCGGCTTTCAAATATGACCTACTCTACTTACCCCAAAACAGGCGTCACAACGCTGCCACAACGATTAAAAGGTAGGAAACGCAGCTTGATATCCTGACACAGAGGACGGCGGTCTGATTGTTCTGACGTCCTCTTTGTCGCCATCCTGTAGCTGATTTGTGTTTCGAGAACACGTCCTCTTTCAGCGAACAGTTTCAGAGTCCCATCTTCCAGTTTGATAAGCTGTGGAGAGAAAACCGGTGTGATAATTGCGTCTCAACCGAGAACATGGCTGGCGGTGAATTCCAGCTCATACTGGTGCCAATCTAGCTATCGAGAGAGGGAGATATAAATAAACGTAAGAAACAAGATCTTTGAGTTCCAACTCCCAAACTCTACAACAAAACTCTATAACAACTCTACAAACAACAATGTAACAAGTTTTCCCGAGGACCTCGAACCTGTAATTTTCCGACTGCCGTTTCGCAGACCACCAGACAGGAATATGATCGTCTACATTCGAAAGTCAACTGTAGCTTCACTCACCTTGTAAGTAGGATCAAGTCACTAAAATGAGAATGGCTTGATGACCCCCCCCCCAAAAAAAAAGAGTTATATAGGAGCTTTCATCAGTCAAATAACCAGGCTTTTGAAAGAGAGATCTTACTCCTGGTAGACAAGCATAGGTATAACTTTTAGGGAAGGAGTGCGAAACCTTCACAGGGCTTTAAACAGACTAGCATCTGCATTCAATATCTACTACTTTTTCGACTTTTTAAACACCTGGTGAACATTGCTCGTCATTCAAAGCTGCTCCCTTTCTGATTGGCAGCTGCGATGGATCCATGAACTGTTTTCTTGATTCGTCACATTTGGAAGCAAAAAACACAATTACTTGTGCTAGAATCTTATTTAGGGAGCAACTTTCTCGAAAATGGGGAACCAAGTACAATTCGATCTCGGTTAGTCCACAAACGCCTGCTATCTGCGATGCCGTAGGAATTTCCATAGTTTGATTTGGAACAGAGTTACCCTTGCAACGATGGGTTTGCCTGAGCTTGTTCTCCACACACAGTCTTCTAAACCGGGTCCAGAAATAACTGTTGACAAACGGATTGGACGCTCTGTGCGCGATTTTCGTGGGAGTGACCGCAGTGAACTGGTCTATTGTAGCGTAATTGGAGCGTCTTTACCTCAGTAAATCCTTTTCATACGTAGTTTGCTTTCTCAAGAAGGTAACTGGTGTTTAGCAGTTGAACAGGACCGATTGAACCAAGGGCTGTAATCCCCAGATCCCTGAAAAAGTCCTTCTAAATCGAATGGCACGAGGTACACACGAACGCACTGATATCAATCACTGTCAGTAATAATCAGTGGTTTGTGGTCGGGGGAGGATCATTCAGACGCAACATTTGCATTTTTAGATGCGAAATTGTCAGCAGCAGACAAGAGGACCCCTACATATCAGGTTCAGGGGGCGAGATTGTCCAAGTAGTTAGAGCACGAAATTACTGACCGGAAGGTCCGTGTTTCGAACCCGATCTTTGGCGCTCGACTTTCCCTGTCTAGGCTTGGGCAACCTGGCAGTATCCCAGCTCTCGCGCTTCCTTTGAGTGGCATGGCAGCTGGGCACCGGAACGGTACTACTACAGCCATAAGGGCTCTATTGAGAAGCTGAAAACCCTAGAGGTTTGTGACCGCTACGGGCTGAATTATACTGCGCATCCAGACTGATATAACAGTTTCAGGGCACGTAGACCAACCTCCAGGGTCTATTGCATACTGCGCTCTCTGGCTGCGTGATCGATCACAAGCAATGGGAAGCAACCTGTTCGCTCTTTATTTCTGAGAACTAAGTGCCGTTGAGAACCTCTGTAGGATGTTGTGGGACACCGAAATCCTGTTTCTATCTAAGCACGATCATCGCATCGCGGACTCGACTCATCGGCACTGTATAACCCTGTTCCTACTGCGAGTAGAACCCTGGATATCTGATATGTGAACAAACAGGTTGCCACTATTCTACCATGAATACTGAATACAATGGAATCAGATCCAGATGGGCACCAGGGCAACATACTTCGATTTTTTCTTAAAAATACCTTGAACTACAGCCGTCGGGGACAAGAAGACCGCGAGTTCGCTTGCCTATTATTCAGTATCTAGGGTTTGCACAAACTCTGTACCAAGCACCTTTCAGCAGACGCTGGGCACACGCTGATACCATAGGAAAACAAACTAATAGGATTAGGGAATACTGTCTCGAACAAGGACCATCAACCACTAAGGAGCGGTCATGCCAAAAGATGTTTAGTGACGTTTAGATTGGTGGCACTCCAGTAGGATTAGATGAGTAATACTCAACAGTTATTAAACCAGTTGCCTACTTTCTCCTATGTGGTCACGCCTCCAGCTAACAAGCCCACCCTTTCAAACCTCAGCCCTAATAATTTGGTTCCTCTCGGATTTTTGTCCCAACCCTCGGAGCTCATGAATACTGACTACGAGCAAGTAGCTGGCCGGCTGCAGTACGATCTACGAGGAGAGTACAAATCTTGTACCACGTTTATTGCATCTGATTGCTTCGTTTCATTGGTATTCCCGGTTTAAACATCCGTCATGTCTGACCGTGTCGGAAGACCAAACTGTATCCAGTACATATATATATATGTACATATATAACACAATATAATACTCTGTTATTATACTGAGTAACATGCCCAACTCACCTCGGCAACACGGTTGTATTTCTTTCCAGATTCCAAATTCTGACCTTCCACTGGTAGAAATACCAGTTGCAACGAGCTGGAATTTTGAGAAAAAGTTACAAGAATGTGTTGTTGATGGAACACTACTGATAAGGTTGCTGGAAACTCCTAGACAGCACACGACCGGTTTGGACTTTCTTACTGGGGCTCAACAGGTAGGTACAGTCCTTGAGTTTCCCTCAGCTTTATGTTCTACCTGAACCCAAATTGCATGAAATTCCCGAGCTACACTCCTTTGCACACCTATGCTGTTTTTCAAGGGAGATTCAATCGAGTCCAAAAAGAATTTCTTGTTTCTGACAGTTTTCAACTGAATGTGTCACACCAAACCTCTTTTCGATCGATTGGTGCAAGATATAGCAGTGTGTTCACCCGGAGCAACAAACTACTCATATGGTTGCTGAATTCTCATCGCCAGTTGGCTTCTCTCGTCAGGTTTTCCCGAAAAATTAGAAGGCAGATCCGCCTGGATGAAGAACAAGGAAGGAATAACGTCGTACAAGGTGAGCACATCCAGATGGCTTCAGCTGGGATTCACTAGTCAACAACAACTTCGGTGAAAAGGTGCACGAATAGCTATACAGTTTCGCTGGACTAGCCACAATAACTGTTTGTGAACAGGGAAAAGGATCATTCGGACAGAGTGATATAATACGGATACCGGCGACTGCCCGAAGGCCTCCTCGTGTTTTGGTCCATTATAGTTCGGGCACGGCAGTGGAGCATCAGTGCCAACACTGATGTTGCTGTCATTGATGATGATGATGATGAGTTCGGGCACGAACCGAGCAAGTATAATGATCAGCATTTTCAGGAAACCAGGCCAAACTGCTCTATCTTCTAACGCTGCGTCCGCCTGGAATTCACAACAGAAGCGTATTATCTTCGAGAAATACACTCATTTGCAAATCAATTTGGTTCTCACAAGAGACTCAACTGGATCTCTTGTTTATGATATTCTACAATTGAATGTGCTGCGCACAGGCCGCCCCATGTTTCAGTTGGCACGATATTCGAGATATCGCAGTATATTTTCATAAAGGAAACTACTCACAAGGTTGATGAAAACTCTTCGACAGCCCACGACCGGTTTCTTGGGGCTCATCAGGTAGGCGAAGTCCCCGAGTTTCCGTCAACCTTATGTTCTGCTTGAACCCAAATGGGACTAATGTCGAGATATAAACTTGCTTGTAAATCGATTTAGCGAAACCGGCCTTGGGCTGTCGAAGAGTTTTCAGCAACCTTGTGAGTGGTCTTTTTTATTAAAAAAAGAGCCGTACTATCTTTGGCGGTCAGAATACAGAGGGCTCGGATTCGTACACCTAGACGTTGGGTTATTTCATATAGCCTCTCTTTGTAGCAAAAAGACCAGGTTTTGCGGCGCCTGAACAGAACCGCACGATGCCTTACATTAGCAAGCACCGGCTTCTACTCAGTCTCGTGATGGCGCGCCGTGATCAGTTGTATACTGTCAAAGCGAAGTTCCGTTATTAAAAAAAAACTGGGTTTGTGAGTGCAGTGAAATAGGATAGAGAAAGATGTGAACCACAGATCTGACAAGTGCTTGGCATAAGGAAACGAACTGTCAATGGAACCCTATCAAATCAAGAAGACGGCACCAAAACTTGGTTCAGTTATTTTGTCGTTTCCGTTTATCACAGCTAAACTTCTGGGGAAAAACAGGCACTGGGTAAATAAGTTCTTCCGAAAGCAGCATAAGCGATGCCGAAGTTGGTCACCCAGTTCCATTCTACTCTATCCCAGATCAAATCACGTGCCCATATCTTCTTGGACTTACTCTTGACTAAGCTCCTCAGCACTGGGAGGTATTTTGCGGGGACTCCATTTCGAACTCAGGTGGTTCAATGGAATGTGGGAGTAGAATAGATCTGATGCCTGGGAAGTGTACGGTGTGAGTCCAAGTTGCGTCCGACAATTGTGAAAACCTTGTTCAGAGTCTACTGGCACTTTTGAAGGAGTACTCGCCATGCAAGGAGGACTCGCTGAGGATGGCGAAGCAGTGGGCAAAATGGCATCATAGTTCTGCGACCCGTCTGACTGACTCTCGTATCCAGAAGATTCGATCCGTCTTCTTTTGCCACATGAAGTTTGATTCGTAGAAGGTGCAGAATCTAGGGGAATCTAAGTCATTTTCAGCAAGAGAAAAAAACACAGTAGTTTTGGAAACATTCACAGTTTTGTCACCTCAGAATGATTCATTATTACAGTAAGAAAAATCTATCGCTGTTGGGTGATCAGGTGAAAGATGATTGCTTCAATCAACCACACTTTTAAAAATAAATAAAGCTAAATTCTTTTTTTCGAAAAAGCTTGGTAACAATCAGTAGATTTATTGCTGGGCAACGTTTCGCTTTTGACACAAAAGCTTCGTCAGGCCAAGTGACTAGGTTGGTCGAGATTTAAGGCGGAAGGAGAACCAATAAGCTAAGTCAAGCTGTTGGATGTCGGCCGAGGGATTTTAGTGTGTTAGAGTGGTTGAACAAGTGTTGTATCGCTGGAGAAACCTACATATGTTTGGATCCAGCCTAGGGTCTAGTTCTTCTGGTTCGGTTCATTTGATGGTTCCCCTTGAACTTCGTCTGAACCTTCTGTCCGCCTGT